ATCTTCTTGTAAACCAGCATTCATTACACATACGTCGTAGAACTTGGAATTATTAGGCCTACGATAAAACTACTTAACAGTAAACAAACATGCTAAGGTCATGGTGGTCAATTTTATTCTAATTACTGTATTATAAAATTATAATGTTTGTTCATATAACTAAATATAAAGTATTATTTCATTATTTGAATAAACATGTCTTTTAAGTTTAAGAACCTTGAATCTATATCTCATACAGACCATATTATAATAAACGTTTACGTATTTATTTCTTAGTTGTAGTGTGTCATTTCATTTTGAATATTTATTCGACAAATAAACGAAAGCAAAATGCAACAAGGAGAAGATGTGGTAGTTTTAAGAAAATACGCGTTATAGAGAATTACGGATATTTAAAGCATCAATTATAAGAGAAAACTCATATTTCAAACATATCAATAATGACGCACAAGCATAGGCCTATATATATATATATATATATATATATATATATATTCCAATATATATATATATTTTTTTCTCTTTTGTGGGAGTTGCACCCACTTTTATTTCATTTCTCTTTTCTTAGTTTAATAACATTTTTTTTTTCCTTTTTTTCTACACATGAAATAATGACATACTGGTAATAAAGGCCATTGAATAATAATAATAATGATAGTAAGGATAATAATAATATTAATGATAATGACACTTTCTTATAATTTAACATCCACTAAAGGTTAGTCCCTTTGAAGCTGCATAGACAGTATTTCGTAGTTTAACATTATTTTCATTATAATATTTTGAATCAAAAAATTTGAATATTAATACAAACTTGCTTAAATATTTTTTACTTTTTCCCTTAATTTTTTGTTTCTTTCAAATCAAAGTATCTGACGGTTCATCTCTTCAATGTACCGTGATATAATTCATAATATATATATATATAATATATATATATATATATATATATGTATATATATACTTTATATCTTCGTCCATTCTATCACCTATTATAATTTTTGTTGGTATTTTGTACATATTAATAAAGACACAATGCGTATACATACATATACACATACATCTTATTCTTTTTTAATTATTTGTTATTACATGTTAATAACTATTAAAAAGAAACTGATAAAACCTAAATTACAAGACGATGTATGTAAAAACATACTAAACTTCAATATTAAATTTGATAAATCTCCAACGCTAAGGACGCAGACGCTTGTCGTGCATTTTCTGATATATTGGCATGGCTGCGTCAACGCACTTTAGAACAGATTCATTCAGCTCGGAACGTTGTGGCAGTGGCTCTGGCTTCTTAAAGCAGGTGCTGTCGAAGGCATTCTGGTAAACTTTCGTCAACTTGTTACCTTGTAGCTGTAACTTCGATGCAACCCAGTCCTTAACAACACCATCTCCCGCCTCCCAAGAGAGTAGCTTGTCAGTGTACTTGATGCCCAGAGTCTGGCAGAACTTTCGAAGGATGCCTTCTGGATCAGACTGCAAATCGTCTGAATCAATTATAATCGGTTCTCGTTCAATTCCACTTGATATCAAATGTTCGTATAGTTGAAAGTGGTCTCCGTACGCATAGGCTTTGGATCCCGACATCTCTAAAACCTCGTCTATACGCTGAGATTCCGCTGACATACCAAGGCTTGAGAACACCTTATTCCACGATTTATATAGCTTTAGAGGATGACGTATCATAAACGTGTGACGATATCCACTTGGAATGAGGTCATAGTTGGCTGCTACTGGTTGAGACATGTCTTTACAGAACACAACGTCTTTACCAGGATAATCCCCTTCCAGTAATGATTCCTTAACCCACTTGAAAGTATACAAGTTGTGGTCAAGTCCCATATCTAAACTGATATTCGATGCAGAATCCATGACTTTATCAAATGACTCTTGTGTGTCTTTTGGCATTGCCATGGTACGTTCTGGTCCAACTGTTATGGAGCACGTATATGGTTCTGAGATAATTTTTACGTTGTCTAAATGGCTCATGCATTTTATGAATGCCGTGGAAAGAGTTCTTGGAATCATCCACAGCATCACTCGTACTTGTTCAGATCTGTTCTCAGCCATGATTTTTGTCAGCTGAAACTAAAAATATAATATAAAATATATTAACAGATATTACATAGTCCCCTATGCTTATATCAAAATTGATGATTTAATGTTTGTACTTTGAATATTTGAGTATAATTTATACTGTTAATAATATAGTATCGGTGGTTTTATTTACTCGTTCGAGGTATCAAGCTAAAAAGACCATTAAAATGACATGGACGACAAGCGTCTGCGTCCTTAGCGTTGGAGATTTATCACATTTAATATTGAGTATTAAAATGACATGGAGCTCCGTGCGCTCGGTGATTAGGGCTTTTCTCTGTTTAACCCCAATTTGCAGTTGGGAAATACAGGTTTTGAGGTGGCTCATGAAAAAGCTAGAAACTATCTTGTAGATACGCACATACATACACACACACACACAAACACCCCTGCACGCACACACAGATACATACACACATACACATCTGTCTCTTATACACATCT